CATCACTCTGCTTCCCCACAACTACTGCCACCGCAGCAAGTGTGGGTTGCAGAACCCCTGCTACCTGCCCCAGCCTACCCATGGGCTTGTGGGCTAATCTGAATAGGGGATCCATCCCCTCCATGGGATGGTTGGGGTAGCCACCCCAAACTGTTCTAGGGCTGGAGCAGCTCTGCATGTACCTCTCCTGGGCCACAGGGACATGCCAGCAGCAGTGCAGAGCTAGCAGCTGGAAGCTACTCTAGTCCCACTGTGCTGCCAGTGATTTGTAGTCACCCAGGGCAGGAGGGCATGTGGGATGGCAGAAGGCACAGAGACCCTCTTCCCCCAGAGGGGGGCCTGTTGCCCCACTAGGAGGATTTGAGAATTGGCTCTAGCCCCAAGGTAAATGCAGTAAGACACCTAGACTAAAGCAAGTCTATCCAAAACAAGAATGATTAAAGGTCTAGAGAACATGACCTATGAAGGAAGGCTAAAGGAATTGGGTTTGTTTAGTTTAGAAAAGAGAAGACTGAGAGGGGACATGATAGCCCTTTACACGTATCTAAAAGGGTATCACAAGGAGGAGGGAGAAAACTTGTTGTTCTTGGCCTCTGAAGATAGAACAAGAAGCAATGGGCTTAAACTGCAGCAAGGGAAGTTTAGGTTGGACATTGGGAAAAACTTCCTAATTGTCAGGGTGGTTAAACGCTGGACGAAATTGCCTAGAGAGGCTGTGGCATCTCTATCTATGGTGATGTTTAAGAGCAGGCTGGTTAAACATCTATAAGGAATGGTCTAGACAGTACTGGGTCCAAGGAATGGTCTACACAGTACTGGGTCCTGCTGTGAGGGCAGGGGACTGGACTTCATGACCTCTTGAGGTCCTTCCAGTTCTAGCATTCTACGATTTTATATGCTTGAGAAGCAGTAGGTGCTACAGGATGAACTCCAACATACCACTATAGTTGAAAGAGGACTATTAGCATGCAATGCCTTGGATTGTTCCAGGGAAAACAAGGGATACAGGAGAAAAAAATATAGCTGCATCTCCCTGTCTGACTCTTAACAGCAAACAGCCAGCAAGAAGACCAAGGGTAAAAAGCAAGTGAGTCTTTGTGTGTCCAATGGCCTTGGGATAGGAAAATGGCAAAAACAGTGCAAAAACTCCCCTTTGTGTTGGGGCTTTGAACAATACAATGTTTTTAAAACCAATTTGTATTTTAATAGTATCACAGCTGCAGCCCAAGCCCCTGGAAATCCTGTATACCCACCACACACCCATGAACAAGCTTTCCCGTGCTAGTCTGTCACTTTATTCAAGTTTTGATCTGGAATGGCCACCTCTTCAGAATATAACATTTGGGTCCATTCTTTGGCAGTTTCCTGTATCGAGAGAGACCTGGTGTTGTCCATGGTACCAAGTGTCAGTGCAGCTGCCTGCTGGAATGGAACTGCTTGTAGTTTGGAGGCCTTATTTTTTATCCACGTGCGTTTGGTTTTGTTTCCTCTCTGCTCTGGTAGTGTCACAGCAGCCTGAAGTTGAAGCTCTATTGTTACCATTTGTAATGGTTAGTTAGGGCATTACCATTGCCAGTTCTCAAACAGTGGGCAAAATCACATTTGAAAACTTCCTATGAAATAAAGATAATGTAAAGACTAATTGTCTGCACTTACCTTACCAGGCCAGCTCTATTGTCTTTCAATTTCTTGTAGCGGTTGATAAGTCTAGGTTCCAGCTTTTTAAAGAGGCTGTACTTTATGG